CCTTGGCAATTACACCAAGACAAGGAGTGTCACGTCCAGTCGTTCCTTAAACGCCTCCCGGGATGGGGCTCCACTGCCTCCCTGTGCAGCCCCTTCCAATTCTTGGCCTTTCCATGAATAATTTTTCCCTAATCGCCAATCTAGACCTCCCTTGGCACAGTTTGAGGCCATTGACAGCTGAGCCAGAAGGTCCCCCCCAGCCTCCTTTTCTCCAGGCTTGTTTGGCTTTCCTGGATAACTGGGACCTTAATGAAACAAGCAAAAACTTGATGAGGTGGTACCTCACCATGGGAGAGGATTGAAAATTGCAGTGTCCTGCCCTCTGCTTGTACACTGAGTTCAACAAAAGCTAAGCTGTGATAGCTTCTGTAAGCAAGTAATTCCTAAATAGTGTCAATGGGATTTTTAATACCTATAATTTTTCTTGTAGTTGGTATTCCTCATTATCCAAACCACAAAAGGCAGTACACTTAATGGCTGGTCAGGTAGTACATATGCTGACTGCCTCTTAAATTACATCTATAGCTATCTAAAGGCACATACATCTTTTAATACACACAGACACACACATATATATACATGTAATCACAGAATGGTTTGGGCTGGAAGAGACCATAAAGATAATCCAGTGCCACCCCACCATGGCAGGGACACCTTCCCCTGTCCCAGGATGCTCCAAACCCCATCCGGCCCAGCTTTGGGCACTGCCAGGGATCCAGGGACAGCCCCAGCTGCTCTGGGTACCTGTGCCAGGGCCTGCCCACCTTCACAGTGAACAATTCCTTCCTAATATCCAATCTAAACCTAGTCTCTGATAGTTTGAAGCCGAAAAGGACACAAATGTCATGTTTTTACAGTCTGTCAAGGCCAAGGAGGCCAAGTCTTGGTTTGTTATACAGCAGCCAAGTGTGCTGCAGTTAAATAGTTGGGATGTTTCCAAGCCAGCACTTAAACTCAAAAGCAAAAAAATCCTTAAGGCGCAGCCAGGTTTTCTGTAAATATTGGGCGTGTGTTCAATTAAGATGTGTGTATGCATAAAGCCATTTTCAAGAGAGCAGGAAGTAACATCTTAAAAATTTTATCTCTAAAGTCCTTTGGGTTTTCCTCAAACACAGCTCTCCCCACGCATTCCTATTCAGGCTGTAAAGTGTCACTGAAATGATTGTGCAGAACCGATTTGTTTTTAACATTCAATCCTTTGACGAGCTGTTATTTCCCTCTCCCCTGCAGCACATGAGCAGGAGCAGTGTTTCCCGGCGTTGCTTTTGGTTGCTGGATCTCCTGAGACACCGGGGGTGGCTCTGAGGTCACAGGGGAGGGTTCTACGCACCGCCCGCTCTGCGAGCAGGTCTCCAGGGAACCGCAGTGGCCCTTCCAGCGTGCCCTGGGGTGGCAGTGACACCGAGCAATGTCTGAGGACGGGTGTGACCAGCCCGCTGACCGGCGCCCTGGCGACTGGGTAAGGGCTGAGCAGGACCCCTGTGCCCCCCCATCAGGGCTTCTTCATGCTTAAATTCTCAAAAAAGCACCATGCTAAGGGTGACTCTGGCCGTTAGTCAGAAGTGAGTCTTCCCATTCCTGAGGTTTATGGGGAGAAAGTGTCCTGCGTATTGAGAGGAAGTGTGTAAAAGTTCTGGCTTGCTAAGTAACCCTGGCTGGACTTTTTTTCTTCAGTTTTCCAGCAATGCTGGAGATCTCTTATTTTATAGTTAGCCCTGGTTGATTTTCCTTCTCTTCTGGAGAACTCCAGCCAAGGTTCACCTTAGTTCTCACCTCCAGAAGAATACTGTGATACCATCAGAAACGCTGGGCTGGGACATCTTGGCATCCCAGGGCACTGTGACACTCCTGGCACAGGCTGCTCCTCATTCTCTGAACTCTTTGGTTTGATGTTTGGTTGAGCTGTTGCCAAAAAATTTGTGCTTTCAGACTTGTACAACAGTAGGAATAGCACTGGAGGAAGCCGAGGAAGGTCGTTGTTTTCCTTGGTGGTTATTGCTGTATAAACAATTTTCAGGAAGGTCCTGGACATTCTTGTCTCGAAGATTCCTAAAATTCTTGTCTCGTTTTTTTATCTACGTTTGATGGTCTTTTTGGTAGGGTTTGTGCTGTGTGTATGGGAGGCGCCTCATTTTTCCAGACGCCACTAGGTGCTGCTGCAATCCAAGTAATAAAAAATAAATGGGAAAATACCATTTTGCCCACATTTCTGATCAGATGTATTCGGGGGGGTTGGGGGGGCGCTGGTTTTTTGTTTGTTTGTTTTAGTTGTTTGGGGTTTTTTAGTTGGGTTTTATTTTAAAGGGTCATAATCTTCATTATTTTCTAGTTTGTTCATGTTGGAGGGGAGCAGGGCGAGCTGGAATCAACAACAAGCGCTTCACTAAGACATGTCCTGAACTCGGCAGCTGCCCAGGGCAAGGAACATAGAATGCCGCTGGAATACAGAGCTCGAGTGCAGGTGAGTTCCTGTGGCAATACAGCCGCTTTTCGGAGCTCCTTTGCAAGTTGTCACTCGCTAAGCTGTGAGTAAGAGTAGCACTCAGGGTCGTTAGCGGAGCAGTCACAGCGGGCTGGCAGACTTTGTGCCTCAGGGGATGGAGTGATTGCTGCCTGTGCTGCGGAGGAAACATATTTCCCTGTTACTCACTTATAATTTTAGTTGCTCGAAGTCCTGCTGTATTACTGCTGATTTTCTCTTTTATTATTGAGACACCGAATACATTATGATCAATCTCAGCCCACAGCCTGTGTGTAAAGCCCTGTAAGAAGGTTTAATGGAAATTTGATGAGCTGTTTGGCAATGAATGTCGGCAATTCAGTATATTTACACAAAGGAATGTTCTCTTTATTCATTAAAAAGTTAGGAGCGCCTTATTTCAAAAATTTGTGAGGCTTGATTAAAAATGAGATTTCTGAAAAATTGTAGGATTAAAGGAAATACAGTATTTTTTAAAATCACAAGTATTTAAAATGTTGTAGTGTTATAAGCACCTTTTCATGTCCTTTTTCTATCGTTACACTGAGCTTAGCTTTACCCACCCATTTTGTACACAAAACATTTTCTATTTTCATTTTCTATAAGCACAGCAATTACAGTGGGGTCATTTCACAGGTTTTGCTGTAGTGAAGGGCAGAAATGAAGGGCTTGGAAGGAATATTTAAAAGGGAAGCTTGGAGCTACTGAAAAGGAGATTATACTGTAACATGAGTGTACACTGTGTTAATATTACATCTATCTTTCAGTGGAACATCTGGCCTTAGCCACTGCCTGAAAAGCAGAACCAGGGTAGAGGGACCTTTTATCAACACCAGTGTGACTTCATCTGAAGTTGCATGTCTTGTTTTTACCAGCCCTACACTTTTATATAGAATTAGGGAAATTCTTGCCTGTCGTAAATTGAGAATTAATCTGACACCAGTGGTGAGAGCACGAAGATGCACTAAAGGCTAAAATAGGACAATTGGAGAAAGTTTGTTTAGGCAGTGGTAATAAATACTATTCCTGAAATCTGAGATTGACATTTAATTGCAGTAAGATATTCTAGTAGGAAATGTACAGACTCAGGAGGTGCTTATTTTTAAACACATATATGAGAACGTATTTGTTGAATTTGCTTATCCACAGAATTACAGTCTGGGTGAATCAGTATGAGACAAGTGAACTTGTGAATACACCTAACAAAAGGAAGAGAATCTGCCTAGTAAACCAAATAGTCTGAGATCTGACCATGCAGCTGACCTTGTGCAGGCACATTTTGTGTCTGGTAAATCTTCTTGCTGGATCAGGCCTCCAGTTATATTGATCTTTAGAACTCATTCAGGTTCTCCTCCTCTTGAAACACTTCTTTTAGACTGCATTACATTAAAACTTGCTCTTTGGTTTGGAGGGGAATATCACGGTTGGGATATTGCACTGATATATAACAAACATTTAAAAAGCCAGATATGTTCATTATTTCTAAAATAGCACTTTTTGCAGTTGTCCTTTTTCTTCTGAAACTCTGATTTCATTTAGAGACTGAGTGAACATCATATTAAAGAATGAGATTATGAATTAGTTAAGCAATTAATACCTTTTCCACTTCCCCTGCAACAAGCAGTGTCCATGACATTCAGTTCATAAATCACAGACTAATTCAGTTCTGAGGTCCCTTTTGTAGTTTATTTTAATTAGCTTTAGGCCTACTACTAAATCAAGCAAGGCAATCCTGACATATATCTAGCATTTTGCTGCTTTGCAGACAGAATGTATCATTTCTTTTTCAAAAATTCACACTTTTATATTAATCATGTATATATTCAGCAAATCTTCCTGATGATTTTATTAAAAAAAAAAATAGAAGTCCACATTACCCCTATAAAATCATGTGCAGGTGGATATTTAACACAGGAATGTGACTTCTCTGCTAAAACAAAGGCAGCTGTAATCTCATAAGAAAGAAGACTAATAGACTCCAAACAGAATTTATGAAAATTCATGTTTTTTTGCTATAATTTCTTTCAGGAAGCAGGAAACAACAATTTCCCGTTCTCTTCTCATGACAACAGACATGACATATGCAATGCAGCTGAGTATTTTGACTTGGTAAGTACGCAGCACTGAGACAAATCAAGCAACTTCAGATCTATTGGTGTGCCAGAGATTAAACAGAACATCTTTTTTGTCCCCTGCAGAAAAAGAAAAAATAGATGCTAAAACTTGTGAGAAGAGAAAAATGTAGATAGCAAAGAAAAATACACTTTTTATTAGTATAGGGCTGGGACATCTCTGGGACTATCATAGATGTGCAGCAGCACACACAGTCATTGAAAATGGCACAATTCAAAGGGAAGAAAAAAGCCATGGTTTGGGCCTCTGACAGGCATTTTCTAATATGTCTGTTTTGGTTTTGTAACCAGTTAAATGTCCTATTAGTCTGTTCTAAGTTATTTGCCTTGCAATGAATTTTTGTAGAGATCTCAGCCACTTGTAATTTGCAGCCCCAAATATTTTGTTCAGACTCATATTTTTCATTAATTTAACCAAAATCCATAGGATACCTTCAATATATCTCAAGAATGTATTGTCTTCCAACACTCATCTCTTTACAATACACCTGTTTAAATGTATGTTGCAGAAGCCACAACTTTGACTAGAATTTAAATTTTTTTGGATTTTTCTCTGTGTTTCATGTTCTTCCATTCCCCTTAGATTGTTGACATTATTCTGGGCAGCAAAAGAAATAGTGCAGTACACAGGATAATGAGTAAAGGAGGAAGCAGTGAATTGTGATATAGGGAGTTTGTCTGACTTTGGGCTCTGTCAGGCCTAGACTTTTTGGAATTCATTACCCACTGAATAACGTCAATTTCTGTGCACTTTGGGCAGTGTCTCATCGCTTTAGAGATACTGATCAACCGTAATTCCAGCTAAATTTCCTGAGAGCTGTGGAGTGTGAAAATCGGGCTCTGTCTCTCTGTGTTTGGACACACAAGGAATAGCATTGAAGATTCAGATTTCATGGTCTGTCTCAGTTTCTTTATTGCAGTCCAAACCTAGAATTATTAACCTATTTCTTTGGGTGCCTCTGAAGATTAATTTAGCAGAGTGTAGCTAAATAGCCTTGAGTAGATGGTGTGCTACAGAAATGCAAAGTAAAAGTGGTTTATTAGCACTGAGAGGTGGAAGGTCAGCAGATTTCCCATTATATATGCAACCAAAAATGTTCATACAGGCGAGTCTGACAATATTATTTTTAACTTGCTAAAGATCAACCGTGAGTTCTTGCAATCACTGTGGTAACAGCTTCGTTCACTTCCCAGTGGGGTAATGACTGTTACAAGATTCATCTGTGAAGCTGTGACTGGAAGTCATATGTTTACATGAATTTTTCTTTCCCTTTTTTTTTATTTTTCCTAGGGCATGGGCCTGAGGAAGTTGGATCCAGAGAAACAGAAACAGAACTCCCATAACTTCTTCGAGTGGGCTCGTGCACCAGGCCGGAACAGCAGCGAAGGCTTTGTAACAGTTTATCAGACTTCCTTTGTGGCAGATCAGACCCCTGGAAACCAGAGCCGGTGTTGCAGGCGCTATCCCAAGCACCACACCCAAAACCAGTGCAGTGGCCAAAACCAGTGCTGTGACAAATCTGCTCCTGAGGATGACAAAGCCGTGTAGCCATAGAGTCCATCTTGATCAGCAGAACACCTCTGGAGCACTGACTGACCAAATCTCAACTATTCACTACTCAAAACAATGAAGGAATAAACATTTATGTAAAGTGCACATGGCAGTACGGTTGAGAGTTCATTGTGATCAACAGCCTTACGTTACTCTGAAAATATATATTACTGTAAAACCTTTGAAGAAGAGGAGCATTATAAGGAAAAACAAGATTGTGCATATTTTTAGACATACCTCTACTAGGAGAACAGAGATAGGGATTGTGCTTGTGTTACCTGATACTGGTTGACTCTCATCTTGATATAAAACATCCTTCAGCTTCTGAATCAGTGGCAGGGCTGTACCTCAGGCAGCTGACAGCACCTGTATTGACACAGGAGCATAATCGAACTGGATCCTCGAGGGATTACCACAGCAGGGAGCCAAACCCCTGTGTGTGTTCAGGTAAGAGAGAAACATTTCTGGAAGGTTTCATGGCTGAGAAGGCAGGTGACCAGCCATTAGAGAAAGAAGATAAAAAAGAAGCTGGGCATTAGATTGCTGTGCAAAGTGACCTGTTTGGCTATAGCACAGCAGTTGCAAAAGTGAAAAAAGAGAGTGTTGTGAACAACATTTGTGCACTCACAAATTTGATTCATGACTGTAAGGGGGAAAAAAACTTGAGCTGAAATGGAAGGCTGCATGGAGGTTTGAGTTTGGGGTGGACTGGATCTTAACTCATGATTTTATAATTACATGTAAAACAAGAAATTCAAACCCAGTTCTCCAAGCACTCTGCTCCCAGTATATTCACTGATGATAGGATGTGGCAGGCAGTAGGGTCAGACCTCCAGATGATGTGTTTTCCTCTTCTGGATCATTTCCATTAATATCAATAAAACAATAAGCTAAACTGTGTGTCTTAAAATATCCTACAAATAAGCTTGTTGCTATGCAAAATAATGTTGACTAAAAAAAAATCAATCGTAAGTTTATGAGATAATTTCCTTTATTTACAAGAAAAATGGCAAAATAAACCCTTGACCCTTAGAATTCCCTGTATTGTAAGAGCTGCCTTGAACATGAGCTCAGTTAAGAAATTACATTTCTGCCTTTCAGTGAACAGATGCATTTTTTGGTGTCAGCATGCAGTGGCTGATGGCCTTTTTGTGTGCCATCAAAATAGATGGGATTAGATTCCCCAAATGTGTAGCATATTTATTAGCACATGTTGAAATAATAAACTCATTTTTTTAAATGGAGTTCCCCTTGTTAGAGTTCTTGGGGTGCTGTACAGTACATCAAAATCCAAAACATCAATGAACAACGTAAAACCAAATAAGAAGCCAAGTAACACAGTGCTATTAAAAAGAATTGCTTTTTCTCAAAGTAAAGACAGCCTGCCTGAGACAGCTCCAGAGTCAAAATTTCCAGAGCTTTGGCCAACAATTTCATCCCCAAACTGATTCAGAACTGAAGTGTGTGCCAATCACATGGTGAATGAAGTGCCCCATGCTGTTTGGCAAACTCCAAAGGGCAATCTTGGACCTCCATCAGAAGGAAGGAACACATTCTTGCTCCATTAGTAATGTTTATCTGTGGTTTAGCATTACAACTGGATGTGGTGAAATAAATTGCTGTAGTTTGTTATGCCTTAAGACACCAATAGAAACATGCCAGATTTCTTTTTTCTCCTCTTTTTATTTTTTTTTCTTCCCATTTTTGATTAAAATATGGATTTTAAAAAAAAGTACCTGTGGGTTAATACATATTTTCAACTATATTGTAATAAAGATTGCGGAGGAGAAACTGAAGAGATCATGAAACCCTTATAAACTGAAATACACTGTGCAGGGTTGAATAAAGCAGGTGATTCCCGCATATCTCATGCTGTGCCAGTGTTTCTTGAGTAAATAACAGGAGACACAATACACTGAATTTGGAAATGAATATGAAATCCTCAGATAAATTTGTGTACTTTGGATAAAAAGTAAAAAACTCGGTTTGTTTACTCTTGTGATAATAATGTCTCTGTGAGGAAGGTCCTATTGAGTTAAAACATTTTTGAACATGGATTTTTCTTTTGTTTGTTTCTTTGGGAATGAAAGAGATTGAAATAAGGCTGGTAAGTCCTCTAAAATTTTCTGGTCCATGCAGGAAAGTGCTCCTGGCTGGGAAATCATTGGGATCAGATGGGCGTAGGTAGGCTCAGAATAAGCATACTGTGAGTTAAATCAGCCAAATAGTGTTCCAAGTGCTGCTGATAAGGATGGACTTATTTTGTGCATTGTTTTATTTTAAAAAAATCAAACCCTAACACCCTCTTTAGTAAAACAACAGCCTTCATCCTCTAATCCTTTCCAAGCAGTATTGTTGCCCTCTGTTTTTTCTCCCTGCATCAATGTAGGGGACTGCCTATGCAGCATTTTTAGGAAATCTTTTTTGTGTTAATTTAAAAGTGTTTTCAATGTGTTACTTAAATTCACAGAACTCAAACAAAATCCATTTTAAAAAGTTAAACCAGAGGGCTGAATAGGCTTCCCAGGGAATGGGCACAGCCCCAAGGCTGCCACAGCTCCAGGAGGGTTTGGACAATGCACAGGGTGGGACTATTGGGGTGTCTGTGCAGGGTCAGAAGAGGGACTGGTGATCCCTGTGGGCCCTTCCAGCTCAGGGTATTCTCTGGTTCCACGGTTAATAGAGCTGAGCTGAAAAGTTACAAGTTTGCTGCTGAAGTTTCTATGCCCTGGCTGAAGCCGGCTTGGTTCTCAGGTGGCCGGTGGAGCTGTGCGTGGTGATAGTCTTGTGCCTGTGTCTGCCGTGTTACGTTCACTTCTTTAAATTGTGCTTGTTTTTTTTTTTTTTGTCTTTCTGTCCTGCTTGCTGATAAGAAGATGTGAGGACATGGTCTCCCCCAAAGCTGATGTTGCTCAGCCCACGATGCTCTGGTAAGCTGGATGTCACCTCTTATAGCTGCCTCATTTCTGAGGTATTGTGACCAATGAAAGCTGTTTACAGTCGTTAGAGACCCTGGTGTTCTATGAGAGCAGATTGGGTTTGGTACAATAGGGGGGAAAATGGAAATCTTGTCTTTTGTTTACTTGGTTTCTAAAGACTTAAAGAAGTCGTTAAAGCTGGGACTGTGGGAAGCCCTGGAAGGGGGAGTTCTGCTGCTGCTGGAGCTGGTAATTCAGTGGGGATGCAGCAGTTTGACTTCCAAGTCATCTGCTGTTAATCTAATCACTGTGTGCATAATCTAATCACTCCATGTAGCTGAAATGTTGTTGCTTAGTTTGTACTCTCAAGGTTAGAGAGAAGTAACTTGATGTGGACGTGGCACTGGAGATGAGTCCTTTTCCTTCCCTGTGCTGCACAGTTACACAGTGACTGTCCCAGCTCTCTAAACCCAAAGTTGATGCTTATTTATTTACAGTGATATAGTTCATGTGTGAATGATATTAAGCTTTTTTAAATACTCTTTTACTGGTTTAACATTTCCCTAACTGAGGAAAATACTGGTGTAACTGTGGTGATGCTGATGTTGAACCAAGAGTGCAGACCTGTATCTGATGGAAGTGTTTACGTTGATACACTGGCCACGCTGGTTGGCAAGAAATGAAATTCTGAAATTAAGTAGAAACTTCTTAGGTATCTCTATCTTCAAACCAGAGCACAGAAACATATTATTATTATTATTATTATTATTATTATTATTATTATTATTATTATTATTATTATTATTATTATTATTATTATTATTTTCCTTAAGACTCTCCTGCTGCTGCTACATTATCTAATGAGCAGTAGGTGGCAAGGATAGAGACCCATTCCACTCTGGAGTGGGAAAGAGCTATACAGAGCTGTCTCATCCCAAATTTCTTGGTTTATTCCTGCGTCCTCAACAAAGTAATAAAATAACAAGCTGTTAAAGCATTGTCTGTGGAATATCTAATTAAAGGGAAATCCATTCAGCATGCAAGCAATCCTAACTGGCCTTAAATTGGATATTCAGCCATAGTGGGTGTGAGTGAACCAGTAAAACACCCAATTTATGATTTGGACCGGCAGCTGCTTTTATGAAAAGCACGATACCTCTTGTCTGGTCAAGCTTGTTATTCTTCAGTATATTCATCTGAAAATGAAGTATTTCTAATTGTCATTTTTGAAATGTGGTGTACAGAAAAAAAAAATGTAGTCTGAAACAGGTAAGTTTAATTCAAACAGAAGGAAAGAAGTGTGCAGAGACCTCTGGGACTGCAAGGACTGGAAGTCAGGAATTCAGGAATGCCTGCTCATAGGTGAGTGCCCAGCCCCCTGAACCAGGGAAAGCCCTGTGCTTTCTTTCTCACAAGGCCAGTGTTTAACTGTTGCAAACAAAATGCTGCAGCTCTGGCAGGCCAGGTAGAGCGTGGTGCTTTTCCAGGTTGCCTGAACCGCTTCAGAAAATCAGAAGAATCTTAGGAATACCTTTTCTTTTAATCCCTTGCTGTGGGATATGTGGAAATAGCGCTACTCTAATAACAATGAGAATGTATTTTTGTGATCCCACAAAAATACTGAGTTACAGGTTTTGTAACTCAAACAATGCTATGAAAATAGATTGAAAATAAAGGTCTCTTGTTCCTTTCTCACCCCACCACCCCCAAAAAGGGAGGTTGTGTTTAGACTGCCCAGTACATTCCAACACCTACAAATGGCAATGTTAACATGCAAACAGAGCAGCACAAGTGTCAAGTCCTGTGCCCAGATGTAAACTGCTGTGGGCTCAGGCCCTGTGGTATTAACCAGACACTCCTGCCTCAAATGGCATTGTAGGCATGCATTAGTGACCCTAAGTGACAGACCTCCTCATCTTATTGCTTAATTAATCAATGGCTCAGTGGCACATTGGCAGGGCTCTTTTTCAAGCTGTGTCTCCCCTCACAGGGTAATCAGATGCTATATGGCTCTGTCTACTTATGGGAAAGCCAAACGCAATAAATAAAGTTTAATTTCCTGATTCCCCTGGGATATAG